AAAAAGTAGGGTTGGGAAAACAAAATCTCGAAACTTTGCGAATACAAAGCTTATTCAAGTACGGTTACCTTGCTGATTTGCCATTCTGTTTTGAGCTTTACCATAAAGTTTCTACGCTTTTAAAACACTGTGACATACTGACTTGAGTGGTTGTTTTTCATTCGTATAAGACAACTTGATTTTGGTAGCATGCCACCTAATCGTTACAACACTCGCACGAGACACTCTTCTGTAGAGCTAAAAGAAAACAACCGCAGCCTATGTAACGTCATTCTTTTTTTTTTTTTGTATGGAAAAATAGGTTATCTGGTATCCCAAACTGCAACCGAAAACAAGTGCTGTCATGCCCACAACATACGGCAGGCACAGGAGTCCAGACGAGGATGCCTTTACTATGGAAGCGAATGACTGCGAACAAGTTCCTCCGATGGCTGACGAGGGAAGCTCAGTGGAAGAAGTCAACAGAGAATCTGTAGAAGAAATGACCTCCGTTTGCACATTTGTTGGACCGAATTTCGAATTTTGTGCAAGGTTGCGCGATATTCCGTTCTATCAGCGGGGTTTTATATTTCTTCTTATGCTGGCTCTGGTGATTTTCAGCGTGTGCATTTGCGTGAACACGGAGTCTGCCCTGGGAATTTTCGCGCCAATTTCGGTCGCAGTTGTTCTTTTTGGTGCGTTTTTGTATCGAAATTACCGCGAGGGCCGGTTGCAGTTCGCCAACTCTGTTTTGGCGTGGCTGGATCGCTGCTGCGTTGATAAACCCGTGCAGTACACGTGGCTGACACGTGATGATGAATGAAGAACACTTGAAGTTTTTTTTTGTTTTTTCTGGATGATAGCGGTATTTAAAATTAGAAATAATCGACCTTAGCGCCCGGCGAGTTCTCCTTGTCCACTTTTTTGTGCATTGTACGATTTGGCGGCCAAAAAGTGTCCCCAAAAAGTGACCCCAAAAAGCGCGCGGCCAAAACGATTATATTACATAGCTGTGACGTAGAAAACTGTGAAGACACGTCGGCAACTATAATGGAGAGAGGAGAAATCCAGAGGAAAAGACGAACGTATTGCGTGGCCGGAGCGCCAAATGATATTAGCTACACGAAGAATACACATATACCGAGTATTCCTGTACACTACTTTCCAAAGGATATAGCTGTATGGCCAAAATGGATGCGTTTCGATCGTTGTCATCGAGGAGATTTTACTCTTCATTGTCAATGCCTTATGCTCTGTACCGGCTTCGAAGATGGCTGTTATGAACACTAGTAAAATCGGGGGAAGATAACCAATGAATTCAGCTAAAACAATAACGGTGAAGGGGCCTGTTCCCACA